GTAATTTGAATAATTTATCATATCACGTACCGTTCGATACATATATTTATTTGTTGGAGAAAAAGTTACAGTTTTAACTAAAATGGCTACTTAGGAAATAAAATATTGATATCGAATACTTATGACATCAAGTCGATACTATTTTTCTCATGAAGAATCAATGTGTTACGTAACATATATTATATACTGTAAGCCTTAACTTTTTATCATCAACCTAGCTACTTTAACATTTAATTACCGAATGGTGTAGATAAATTGATGTTGATTAAAATCCTATGAGCTCCAAACCTTTTTTTTAATAACGTTAGTGCATCCGTTTTATTTAAAAGTAAGAAAAAATCCCATTTAAAACAATTATTTGATAGGAGTCTGACGAGTATTACAGTTTCATTCAGACTCATTAACTACAGCTGTTATATATACTTATATGTGAAATATTGCTATCAATTACTGTAGTTAAGAGTGTGTCAACTACCTTGTCTATTACATACACATATGCTGAAAACAAAAATCATAGTACTAATATGGTATAGTCTTTCAATGGTTAAATTTAAAAAACATATCAAAATAAAAAAAGTAAATGTTTCATTTAAAAAAAGAAATTTTAATTATGGTTTGTATACTCAACTTTTATTTTAAAGTTGTGGTAATAAAGACGTACATTTATAAGAATGGTATCGAATTGTAGTATTCATAAGTATGTATCTACATATAATGCTTTTAACTGCTGTATGTGTAAGTAATCATTAGTAAATACTATTTTTTTTTTTTTACAACAATATTTTAAAACACTTAAGCACATGGATACTAAGAGTGACAATGTTACAATTAGGCATTTGAAAAATATTCAGAATACGTAGGATTGTTGATTCTTATTGATGAAAAGCTCATATTTGTTTAAAAACTTTGATTGGCTATCTTAAGCTCATGATGTGATTTTTAATGGCAGCTAATAGACCAGAAAAAATATTGTTTGTAGTTACAGAGATTCAAAAGATTGCTACCATTTTTTGGAGTACGCATGAAATATAGTCAAACATATCTTGACATAAACAAATAAGATCTTCATCAAGACGGATTTTCAACTTTCTGTATTTTGCTTGCAATCAGATACATCTATAGGTATACCAAGACATTAAATTGATTTTCTCATTACAGGAAGGAACCAATGCAAGAACAGTGTGCTAAGAACTGGTCTGGAGCGGAAGATGGCAAAGACGACTTTTGGGCTGCAATACGTACGAACTATGATTACATCATGGATACAAACCTCATTGATACTTGTAAGGTTAGTATTACTTTATGTATTCAGGAGAAATGTGAGGAACTGTTTGTGACAATATATTTAAGTCGTGAACCCCTTATTTATAAATAGGTGATTTTTCGAATCATATACCGTAGGTAAGAGTAACACATTAGTTATTACAAGTAGATACATTTTTAATGAAGACTACGCTCTTGTATACAAGGAACGACTAATACCTTTATTACGAGAGAAAAAAATAAAACTGAATCATACGACATGTATGTAAAAGTTTGTAGATTTAAAAAAATTTGTGATAAATACTTTGCCTAAAATATCAACGGATGCATTATTAACTGTTAAAATTTTTCTATTGAATTTCGAGTAGTTCATGTCGTTGAAAGTGTTCAGAAAAATCTAAAACAGTTAAAAACATGTTTTTCTTTGTTAAGAGCATCAGAAAGACGATGCACACGTTACAAAGTACGACACACAAAGATATCTTTTTGCTTTCAATCCAGAACTGTCGTGTTAAATAATTTTTCGTACGAGGAATATTTTGTTTAAAATAGGAAATAAAGTAAAACAGTATTTGTATTACATTGTAGAGAAAAACATACGCAAAGACTTGAAGTTTTTTGTATGATCTACAGATTTTATGTTTGTCAGTTTATCGTAGAGCGCAAATTTTTTACTGTTATGGGCAAAAACTTGATTTTTCAACGATTTTCGATAATTTTTTTTGTAGAGTGATTTTATTGCAAAAGAGCTACTAATTTTTGCTTTTGATTGAACAAAAACTAGATGAGTAAAAAAAATTTATTTCTTAGGATTGCCAAAAACCCCATGTTACTTAAATGGAAAAGAAAAACATTTGGTGACACGTGTATATTTAACTTTTATTTCGGGTTTTATGATGAGGAAGTTTATTTTAGGGTATAGGTACAAATAAAGAGATTCCAGTAGGTACGTGACTGAAACAGAAACTATGAAGAATCGGACACCCTACTATTTATGTTTGTTTTTATTCTGCATCTGCCTGAGAAAACATTTATTGTCGCACGTATATTTAACCTACATTTGCGGTATAACTCGTTGGATGAATAAATAAATAATCGTAATAGCCATCTTTACATCAGTGTTGCAAGAGATACCAGAAAACATGAAAGATGCGGTTTATTTTAACCATCTACGAATTTCTTAAAAATTATATATGCGCATACAAGTTCTTGCAGTTGATACAAGTTATATTAGTAAGAGATTGCATGTGAAAAAGTTTTGCTTTTTTACCTAGGCATTATGATTTGACTAAGCAGTTGGAGTAGATGTTAACAGATTTTTATTTCTAGTTTACAAGTATGCGAGTATCTACGTCATACAAAGTATTTGATCCCCATACAAAGTAAAAGTTGGACAATGTATTTTATATTAATCGTCAAAGATTGTATCACCAATAAATTTTTTAATGAAAAGGTACATTTGAGTTGATAAATAGTTGAAAAATTTTTGGGTCATTCTAAATACTATCAAAAAATTCTTTTGCTTCACAAATTACTATCAGGTCATCTAATGAAATCGATTTATCGACTACTGAGAATCTCAAGTGGTCACAGAATCAGGAAAATGTGTCTGTTTTAAAAAAATCTAGCGTTTTTAGTTACCATAAGATAAACAGGAAGTATATTCTAAAGTTAAATCTGATGTGAAATCTTGTTGGTCTGTTGACGAATATAATTAATATAATAACGAAGTGAGCATGTCCGGAGAAATCACTGCGTGTGATCATAGGATGTAAACTACGAGTTAAATCGGACGATGAATAATTTCTGTTTATTCGAAATCACTGTTATTGAAACCGCTAATTATTTCGTTACATTCAATCAGTTGAACGAGACAAGTCAGTGTAATGAAAAAAAAGTGCAATTCCTCACGTAAGAACTTAACGACTGTTATCAAATTGCATGTAATTTAGTTGTGAAAATTTTGCAAATACTCGTAAAAAGATGAGTGACCTCTAGTTGAAATATTTCATCAACTCTTTCGTACTGGAGGAAAGACATATTTTTAGAATGCAATCTCAAAGATGTTAAATGTGAAAATAACTCATGTTTTTGAATCAACAGGAGGCTAATGGAGAGTTGTCATGGGACGAAGGCGACGTCGCGACCGTTTCCTGGGGCCTGAAGGAAGTCAGCTGTCAGTTTTCCGAGCTTTACTCGTGGCTGCGAGTTCTTCAAGAGCTGGTCTACTCGAAGGAGGAAAATTTACTGGATAAAGGCCTACGTGCGGTACGTGCCCGTGTGCGAGTGTGTCGTGCTTTCGAGTCCGGCTAAATTCGCTCTCGGTTAATTATTCACACGTGTAGTCGAAATACGAGCCTTCGGCTCAAGGAATGTTTGTATAACTAATACTACGCGACGCCTGCTTCCCTTCCACTACACCGAGTACTCCTACAGAGCACTTGTTGTAACAAAGTTTGTTCGGAATAAATGTGTCGTGGAGTGATAAGAGAAACTTGACTCTTTTCTCGATTCGTTATAATAATGTTAGAGCTGTCGCATGCAAAGCTTATGCTAATTAAACGCCAGTGCTGATTTGACGTTTAGAAAAAATTTATGACTTATTGGCTGAGGAATTAAAAAACTAATTAAAATGATTAAGCTGCTGCTTACCTCAAAAGTCGAGCGTTTGTTTCTAGATGTTGCGTAAAGGAAATATGTAGAGAAACAGGTTTTTTTTTTTTTTTTTTTTTAAGTTCCTCTCTTATCAAATAACGTATGGTACACAAAATGTTTCTAGAAGCTATAAGGTAATAATTTATTTTTACAATTTTCTTATCTAGCTTACAAAAGTACCTTAACTTTCCATACAATAAAAGTTTTAAAACAGAAATCTAACTATGATTTTTTAAATGAAAAGAAATTTTTATTTTTTAAAAATATCTAAGTACAATAATAACACGTAAGAAAAACTACAGATTTTTTCTCAAAAATCGATATTATCATAAGCCACAAGTTCTTCACAAAATTTTTTTACGTAAAGTTGTATACCTCCTCGTTTTAAAAATCTTATAAGGTAATGTTATAAAACAGAAGAATCGTCTTTTAAACTTGTCTTGTAACTTTTATATTTTTTTTATCCTACATTACGCAACCGCATTCGCTGGACTTGCTTTTACTTTTCACACAAACTTACGACAACCACATTTGTTGTACAATGTGTGCTTTTGATGCGCACAGAATTTTAACAAATAATCATTCGTAAAAACAACGGATAGCGATGAAAAAAGATGTCCAAAATTATTTAGTATTCTTTTTTCAAGATTTTGTTAACATTTTACATCATTAAGAAAAAAAAAAAAACAAAGGTTTACACATACTACATAAGTATTACGTGCAATACGTTGTAAGAATTAACGATTTCGGAGATTTTCTATTTTTTGGGTCCGAAAAAATGCAAATAGCTAATAAAGGGAAAAAAATAAAAATTATAACGTTTGTAATTACTAAACATTCAGCAAATTTTACCGCGTAAGAAATCAATAGCTCTTTGATGCAAAGGACGGATCAGCACTTGAAAGACACTAATAATGATATTCCTAATGCTCACTTTCAGGCTCACACAGAGGAGCTGCGCCGTAAGGCTTACCGCAGACGATTGTTCAACGAGCAGTCGGAGAAATTAATTACTCGGGCTCCTTCCTTAAAGGAAGAAGTCTCATGGAGAGTTGATCATCTGAACGCCAAGTGGGATCTCGTTGAGCAGATAATGGCACCAGTGCAAAGACCCGATGAACTCGATAATCAAGATGTTTCCGCAGGTAATTATCGCGCCCTGGTTTTTGACGCTTTGCGCCTCGCCGCGTGACATTTTGTACTTTTTAACTATTTTCTCTTAGCAAATGTTGGTTATGCATACGATAAACAATGTTAGAACAGGAAATCGATTGTAAATGGGTAGCTATATTGATGAATGAATTAATTAACGTTGCATGAAATTAAATTTCTAAATTGCCTTTTTCAGGCACGTTTGCATGCCTAGGTCTTTCATCGCGTGTCACGAAAATGTTACGACCTCAATACGTGATCTCAATGTTTGAAATTAATCTAGAAAATCATTGAGAGGGAAAAAATTACACCTCAGTAAATCTGACAATCACAACATATTTCTTTATTATACATTGGAGGTTTTTTTAAGCACTTTAAAATGCAATACCGATTTACTGGGTCCAAACTTAATATGCAAATATTTAAATTATAACATTTGTAATATTTCAGTAAACAAAGTGAAACGAAAAACTTTTTAAAGTAATAAGTGAAAGGCAATCAGTTTTTGATAAAAATTGAAAAATTTATTTATCTATTCATTCAGTTTACAGCATTGCAACTAAATGAGAAATAAAGTTTTTATTGTATTAAAAAATAATAGAAGTAAAACATGAATAGAATAACCTTAGCTTGCTTCTTTTTGCAAAATTAGCTAATCTCTTCTCGTACTTAGCTCTAACTTGTAGAACAACGTATCAGATAAAAATTGAATTCCTACTTAAAGATTTTCGATAATCGATAATCCTTGTCTCCCAAGTAAACTATATTTTGACTATTTTAGTTGACACTTTATGAAAAATACTTGCTGCAAAGTCCTTTTAATCTCTCGACTAAAAAAATTCTAAACTTGTGAAAAAGAAAGAAAAAATGATTGTGCAGCAGTAAAATTGTCTTTGTTGCTTTTGAAATATAATGTCAAGAATCAAATACCTATGTAAATCACAACCATAGGCACATAGAGTATCAATAACAAGACTTGGTTCTTGAATCCATTCACATGCATGTATGCTTGAAATGATACTTAATCAAACGGATCTATTGTCTTCTGTATTTTTCAAGGCTCCGTTGATACTTCTTCCATAAAGAATTACGTAAGATATGTTTTATAAACATACATCTATGAAATATCGCAATCGTTCAGTATTGTTAAAAAAAAAGTTATATAAACGCATAAAAAAAGTCATGCATATTAACGAGACAATGCATGATTTTTTTGAGTAGATAATTTGTATTTTATCGTGATACATCACTTTAAATGATTAACACAAAACTTTTAATATACACTGTGCATTTGCAAGGCTGTATTTATATTACTTATGAAATAAGAAATTATTTTTTTAATCCCATTTCTAAAAGATTTATTTTACCGTCAGATATCCTTTTTAGAATGTTACACTACTGTAACTATATGATGCAATGTGACGGACTAGTTCAAGCAAGTAAAATCCAAAAGAGAATAGTGTTAATCGAAGTCATATTGAGAGAAAAATGATCAGTATTTGCAATAAAAAAGTCTTTAAAAAACATTTACATAACTAATGTGGTACTATTATACACTCATGTACTAGAATCTGTACAGACATGCTCTTTTAGGAATAAGTTAGGATACTTGGCAGATGACTCATTTTTATACGTAAACATTTCATTTCATATACAGGTGTAGACTGGAAGAAACATATTGATTTATCATCACAAGTTTACCAAAAATAATGAAATTTTTTTGCAGTATTGTAATATGGTAGTTTTCGTCGGATAAGTACCATCGTATCCGCGGCGATTTTGCGGCCCAAGGGACGTAATGTAGCCTCGGAGCGATAGCGCTTACGTGGCGAGTCTATTTTTCTTATCGAGGGCCACTTATCCGACAAAAACCACCATTTCTGATACATTCTGAACACCTTGCATTACATATTTTTTGTTTACAAAAATGCTTCTCGAAAACTAGGAACAAGTACTTGTTTGAAAGCAACTTAGCAGCTATAGGATAATAATCCTGTAGGAGTAAAGTAGCTACAAAAAAAGTGTATAAAAATAACGCTTGCTTGCGGGTGATCAATTCTAAATTCGGTGACGATACGAAATCATCTTTGATACAAAAATAGTTTTTGATATAATTTTGATGTATCACCATAAATTTGCTTTAGGCTAATGACCACTTCATTTTTTTTCTAACTACATAATTTTAAGAATACATGCTTCATTTTTTTGAGTACTTACTGATCGCACTAATCTAACTACAACAATTCAAAATGACTGAATTATTGTAGATATTAAAGAAAAGATGATAAAATGCGAAAAATAAAAAGCTTTGTAATTATTCAGGAGATGTACATTTATCATTTTTTAGATTTACTAAAAACTTAGACATTACCCGACATGTAAGTTATTTTTGTAAGTCGGAAAATGTTTTTCCGGATGAACATGAACCCCTTTATGATAGCTTCTTGAAAAAATCAAAACCGTAGCAATGAGTATTTTAATCATTGAAAAAAACATATATTTTCGGAATAGTACAGGAGTTCAAATGTATACATTCAGATAATGTGAAGCTGAATCGTTAAAAATTTTGAGACTTTTATGTACAACTATCCTGGAGATTTGTATTACCTTATTTTGAAGATTTTGTGAGAAAAAAATAACCTTTGTATAATCTACCCTCTAAACATCATTTCATCGAAGTAACAATACAATAATTTGCCATACGTATCGTACTGATTTCGATACTATAATTCAAAAGACAAAACTCAATAAAAGTACTATCATTGCAACTTGTACCTAAATAGTCATTGCAACCCTTACTGTATAATTTACTTAAATAACTATTAGTCGATTATCATTTTAATGTCAACTAAAAATTTTATAAGTATGAAATGCAAAATTTAAACATGAATGAAAAGCTACTCTCAGTGAATAAGTCTGGCTCTTAAATTCCTATGTGTCTGCGAGACGCATACGACATTTAATGGGAAGCTTATTTCTGTTCTGTAATATTTATATCTTTGACCCCACAGATTTCGAGCATGAAGTAAAGTGCCTTCGAAAATGGCTGCGTGAAATGGAAGCTCGTCTGCAGCCGCTCAACTTCCGAGTCGACTGGAACAGGACTGAGATCGAGGAAAAAGCTATAGAGCATATGGTGAGTCATTTAATAGAATTTCTGTACGTACTTATCATTATAGTAGGATAATATGAAAAAACAAGTGTCGTATTATCTGTAACGGGCAGTGTCTTAACTCGCAGTCTGTATAAAGATTCCATGCTTCATATTATTCATCACATTAAAATCCTTGGAACAGCCATAACAATAAAACAAATCACATAAACAACCACTAAACAAAGTTATAACTGCTAAGATTGTTAAATTATAATAGATCTCATTTTTGTTACAATACAGTTGATAAAATTAGATTTCGCGGTTTGCGAGTTAAGACACTGGGTGTTTTCCGTAATCGTCACCAGCAAGTAATTTTTGGTTGCTCTCTACGTTACCGTCAGGTCGGTAAGTCAACTACCTTGAATTAACTGGCGCTCCGTTCCGTAATCTCGCCAGTTAAAACAGCAGACGACAGTCAACAGCAATAAAATCTTCACTTTTTTCTCGACTTTCACGTCGTCTGCTGTTTTAACCAACCAGATTACGGAACAGAGTGCCAGCTAATTCAAGGTAGTTGACTTACGGACCTGATGGTAACGTAGAGCGCAACCTAAAATTATTTGCTAGATGATGACGATTGCGGAAAACACCTACTACGTGTCTGTTTGTACCTGACGTTGGTAAATGAACGAGCCAGCTATAACTGTTAAAGGTAAGTGAGATTCCTGCTTTACTTCTAGATGGTTAGTTACGAGAAAATATGTTGGTATGCAGGCTGTTGTTATGCTATCGAATATAGGTGTCTCTGCGGCTAATTTTCTTTGGTTCACAAGCAGTAAAAAAGTACTTGAAAATATTTGTGAGTTATGATCTGTCACACTATTATACACAAACAATGCAATTTAGGCTATTAGAAGCGTTTCCAAAAAGCCAGCATTAAATCAACATTTAACATTATTGCATTAATGGTTTGGCTTAGTTCTTCAAAACTTTACTACCCTACGTATATTTTATGTTTTAAACAAAAAATTTAATGCGAAATTGCAAACTTTTTTTTGCTCTTTAAGACATAAGGGTGCCCAAATTGTAGCAAAAACAATTTTTTTAATTTGTTATTTTATTAATATGCAGGATTCAAATTAAACCTTAGAAATTGGTATGCTCTCAATCATAGATATGATGTTTGAATAGTTGATTTTAATTTATGTAACTATTTTAAAAGGCTTACAATATTTTATAAATAATTTTAGTAGTTACCTGTAAAAGTTGAAAATTTAAAAAAGCAGTAAGAGCTTGATGTCACTTTTGATCTATACTTTTTTTTATAACCATTTGAGCCAAGAAAAAAAATTTTTTTTGTTCAATCTATGTCATTGTATATTCTTTGGAAAAATAGTGAATAATTAGGAACGTTTATTCGTTCCCAGTTGACATAAATTTCAGTTCCAAATATTTATCAGCAATCCAATGGACGATCTTGATCCGAATGAAGACAATTGTACAACCTGTACATGATATTCCAAGTAGCACTAACAATAAATGAAGCAATGCACAATAAATGTTCCGTTTTTGCCCCCATTTTAATAAAAAAAAAATTGTTTGAGGCACACCTTCAAGAGAGGGCTCACTTTACTCGTGATGCCATGTACTATGAGGAAAAAATTTGTAACACGAGGTTTAGTGAGGGTGACACCCTTCTTCCGCGATTTGCATGTTAATACCATATCTATAGCTATGTAACATGTAACGTTGCATTTTCAGCTCGAATCGACGTTTTCACGTCGATGCGAAGCCGTCCCGATACAACGCACTAAAATGATCGATCCTGTACAACACCTGAAACAAACAAAATCTACGACCCAATACCCTCTTGAACGCCTTGGCTTGGCTCCGCTCTGCTCTCCCGATGTAGACTCTTACCTAGAGGAGGCCCCGCCGCGGACTGTCTGTCAGGAGGCGGACAGTTCCCGAGGGAAATGATCAGGATGTGAATATCTCACATTCGTACAAATAAATACACTAACACGGATTTCACTTTTAGACTACTCTTTATTTCATTTACAAAGGATGAACACTTCTAAAGAATCGACGCTACCTCCAGCGCTAACTCGTAATTCGCAGAACACACACACACACCTTTGCTCTTATACCCCGCATTCGAATACCTACCTACACCTACACGTACACACACACCCAAAGTTCCCGTACTCGACCTCGAGAATGGCTCGCTCTGAGGTTACGACAACCCGGTTCGATCACGAGAGCACTTGGCTACAACGAAACGCCTTCGATCACGAGCTACCTCACGCATCAACCCGATGACGAGGACATACACCACGCTTCCTCTCTTGGTCCGCAGGGTGTCCTACTGGTGGCTTCACCAGCTGGTTTACCGAGTCTCAGACAACGCTGCAAACACTCACACACACACACACACGAACTCTACGACGTCCTACCGCAACGGTCAGCCGGCCCCTCGCCGACTGCCGAGACTCGGACAACACTTCACTTCGAATACCCACACGCATTACGTTCTACCGCAGTGGATAGTCAACCTCTCGCCAACTCCCGAGACTCAGACAACGCTTCGCTTCGAATACACACACGTATAACGTCCTACCGCAGCTAACAGTGGACCTCTCTCCGATTGCCGAGACTCAGACAACGCTTCGCTTCGAATACACACGCTTATTACGCCCTACCGCAGTGGACAGTCGACATCTTGCACAACCTCATTTCAGCGCCACATACTATGTCCCTCTCCCTCACTTTTTCCACTAGTCGCTACCCTTACCACGTACTACGCGAAATACCTCCAGGCCACTATCTCCAGGAAGTTGTCAGCGTCGTGTCCTCGCGATGTCGCCCAATGCCATCCTGCTCCTCGTGATTGCGTAGTCTTTAGCCAGGCTGCAGATGATGCCTCCCGTAGATCGCCAAGAGCTGGTGACGGGCGTAGGTTCAACGACGTCTCAATGGCGCACACGCTCTACATCCTTCCCTCATGAAGACACGTCAAGGAGTCCTCTCAGTCTCGCTGCTCGCGTCCGACTGCCTCGAAATCTCTTTTATCTCTTTTTTTTTCCCCTACTTTTCTCATACGACTCAGCTCGCACACGTCTCGCTCTTCCACTTAACTACACGTATATACACAAACTCCCTATATTCCCGGCGCAATACAATTTTACAAAAGACACATACAAAATACAACCAATAATTACAATAATCGCTACAGTTCGTCAACTCATCCATTTTCCCACCAATCTACCGTTCACACTCAAATGTACACACACACACACACACATATATATATATATATCTGCGCACACGGTACTAACGTTAACATCACTTATAGTCCCTTAATTGCACATTTCTTCTTGTTATTCCCGCTTTTTCCGCTCGCGCTTCTCTTAGCTCATCTCACTGGCTACATGTCTCCGTCGTCCTCTTCTTTTTCCTCGTATGAAACATAACAAAACACAAACACATGTGCACAGGGCATTAAAACGAGCCTAAAACCTCAAATTTTACATCGAGTCGAGTTTTGGTGTTTTTCGGACTAATATGAAAAATGACCCCATCATAAACATTAACATGTACATCGTGGAAAAAGAATGTCACCCTTACCGAACCTCGTGTTCAAAATTTTTTCCCCGTAGTACATTACACTACGAGTAAAATGAGCCTGGTTTCAAGGGTGTGCCTCGAAAAAATTTTTTTTATAAAAATGGGGGGCAAAAACGTGATATTTTTTATGGATTTCCTTAAATATACTTAACAATTTGAATAGTGTAGCGTTGTAAATATTTATTAGTTCAAATACGCTATAAGTATACAACTTTAAAATAGTGAAATTGCCCGCTTTACTGATTAAATAGTGTATACTCACTATTTTATAGTATACATGGACTATTTTTAAAAAGTTTTACACTCATCACCATTTCAAATTTAGAGATTGTGTATTATAGTTTTCAGGTATTGTAATTTTTCTAAGGACTTTAAAAAAAATCTAATTTGATAAAAAGTTTGAAATAGTAGTAACTACAGACCTTCGTTTACTTTAGAATAAACATTTGCATTTACGTAAAAAAATATTAACATAATTGTTTTAAGTACTGCTTAGAATGAGTTTTGTACTTTTGCATTTTTAATTATTGCTTTGTCAATAATGCTATTCATACTTTAAATACTATACTTTGTATCCCATTTTTATTTTTCCTTTGGGCATGCAGATATGGACTAACAAGAAAAATAAAAAAAGTGGTAATCTTGCCAACAATTTTTTTTTATTTTTTTTTTTATGTCAGTTACCACTAATTAATTTAATCTTTGCTGTCTATATGTTACATTTTGAAGCTCGATTTAAAAATACTCACGTAGCATATTGCAAAGAGACAGGTAGATTTGTTTATCCCTTTTTTTAGACCACAATACAAACCCATGATTTGAAATTTATTAAATTAAAGTTTAATACATTCATTGCACTTGTTGTCCATAAAAGAGTATCAAAATGATTTGTTTTTCATTCAAAAATAACTATCAAATTTTCAATCGTCTGATAATAGAAACGAATTCCAAGTGAATTTTTCAGATAGTGTGTTGGACTTTTTTCCAATTTTTATTCACTGTTATTTTTTAGCTAATATTTTTCACTACAAATTCAATCAGCACACGACAGCTTAAGACAAAGCTTTTTTCAGGCGTAGGTACATTTTTTAACAAAGCAAGCATGCTTGTATTTTGTAATTTATGACTCTACATTTTTACATTCCTCTTGCACCCATAACTTATTGAAGAAGGCTGAATAACAAAATTAACGTTATCTCGTTCAAGTGATTATTAGTTGTCGTAAGAATAGAAAATATTTTGCACATTCATGTTCAATGACAAATATCATGATAAATATAAAGCTCACAGTAAGGTTGCTAATATGGTACGACTATAATAACTATTATAAAAAGATATTACTAATACACCATTTTCAGTACGTGGAGAGTGACAGATGTCATTTGTCAGGATTTGTCATTTCTTTTCACATACGA